CCATGTGACTCCTCCCCATCCAAAGCTCTGGCTGCCATCAGTGTAGCTCCATGTGTCTTGTCAGCAGGAATGTCAAGCAGAGAGTGTCTCTCGTCTCCAGGGAGGAATACAGGAATTCCCAGAATCCTCAGGAGAAGGCCATGCCCACACAAAGAGGCTTCATTGGCTATGACCCGATTGACAGACTAGACTCCACCCCTTCACTCTTAATCCTCTCAAGTCCCAAATGGACACCAGATGATGTAACGACTACAACCAATAAGCCACATCATGATAAGTGGAGAAAAGATTGACGCTGTGAAGGATTTCCTTTTACATGGATCCCAAATCAACCCTCATGGGAGTGGCAGCCTCCCAAATCAATGAACGTATCCATTGGGCCGACCTGGTACAGGAGATCTCTGTAAAGTGTTGAAGGGTAAGGGTGTCACTGAGGACTAAGGTGCACCTGGCACAAGCCCTGGCATTTTGAGTCACCTCACAGGTATGGGAAAGCTTAGCAACGAACAAGGACAACGGACAAAGAATGGATGTGTCTGAATCAAGTTGATGATGCAGGTTATCGACGAGACCGTGAATTATCCGAAGAACAAGGAAGCTTGTGTTAGAAAAAGCACAGCCTTAGAGATGGTGATGGTGAGACTCCGTTGGGCGATCTTCAGCAACATTATGTTCTGTGTTGTGTGTGTTACATGTTGTAAGTTTTCCTTTCCAAAAAATCCCAAAAAGGGTCTTGACATAGGATGCAATCCTCTCCTAGTTTATTCTCATAACATCTCAACAGCAGGATCTCAAGAACCATGAGAGGGACGTGAGGCCACCACACTTTACAATTAATTAATTGGATGGACATAAGATTTCTTTCTCTGCCCCCACAGGCATGGCATTAAAATAAAGAGAAGTAAATCCTGCAGGGCTCTCCTCAAGACTCTGGGCATCTTTGCCTGTGGCCTAATATCCCCCTGTTGATTCTAAACTTCAAAAGTGGCCTCAAATTGGACTCTTTCCACAGGGAAAGCAGGCCGGACAGCAAATATTGACCTCGGGATCAATTTTTCTGAGTAAGTCACAAACTGCCCCAGTCCGAAGGGACAGTCCAGTCACATTGGACAAAGAGCTACTCTCAGGAGGGCTTGCCATTCCAACACTGAGACAGAAAGAGAGCTGGACCCTCTCGCTTCCCAGGATGGTGAAGATGATGAGGATTTGGACTGTGTTTGTCCTTGGCTTGGGATTCTGGTCTTGCTCAGGTAAGAAACTCAATGGCAAGCCCCACCTCTGCTTCATGACACGGAACCTTCCTGGCTGTGTGACTCTGTGTCCCTATTGGCCCCATGGCCTTTGTGTCCAGGAGTCCCCATCTATGACTACAACCCATCCACTCTGAGGGAAGCCCTGGATGCCTCGGTGGCTAAAGTGAATTCCCAGGTGGTCCTGAGTCCGTACCTGTTTCGGGCGTTCAGAAGCTCAATAAAGAGGGTAAGTGCTGAATGAAGTCCTCCCTTTCTTCTGTCCGGCCTTCTGTTCTTTGTGTGTGCTCCCTTAGTTGAGTACACTTTTAATTTTTTTTTCCGTTAGAGATGAATGTCATATCTTTTGTGTATAAATACACGTTATGTGTGTGTGTGTGTGTGTGTATCTGGCGAGACAAGGATTTAATCATGGTCATTGCCCCAAAGCTCTCAAAGCTCTGGTCTTCCCAATAACATCATCTGTCTATTTCCACAAAGTGTCCTCCGAGGATCCGACCTTTGAGCCTTCATCGTTCTTCCAGTTTGATTTGTATTTTTTTAAAATAAAAGAACTGCTCGCTTGTTGGAGTGAGTGTCCATTCTGATTCAACTGTTGCTTCAGCGATCGTAAGATTCCTCGGGGGAGCAGATAGCTTGTACTTGATGGTTACAATCACGTCCACCCGGGAGTACAGCAGAGGGAAAGTCCTGGGGATTTAAGAAGGTGCTCGGGGCTCTGTTCTCCTCTGACACACAGGGTCACCATGCGTAGGAATCAACTCCTGGCAAGACCTTTTGTTTGGCGTGCCCCTCATACTGGCTGTAGTCAGGTGCATCGAGTTGCCCTGACCCATAGCGACCGTCTGCGCAGCAGAATGAAACGCCGCCGGTTTCTGTGCTATCCTCACAGTGGTTCTGGCTCGTGAGCTCGTTGTTGCAGCCCCGTGTCCATCTAGCTCACTGGGCGGGCCTTCCTCTCTTTCGCTGGCCCTCTACCAAGCATGCTGTCCTTTTCCAGAGACTGGTTTGGTCCTAATTCGGATAGGAAGTGAATTTTGATTTGGGAGGGGAAGAAGCCTACCTTCCTTCTTTTACCAATGTGCCAACACGTTCATAGTCTATTTCCCCGGGGACTAAGAGGGGAGGGGATGACTTTTCTTTCTGTTGATTAAGTCTGGGCTGGGTTAAAAGAAAAGACCCTCCCGAGGAGCGTGGTTGGTAAGCCCCCTCCTTCCTCCTCTCCGAAGATGATCTCAGCAGCCACGTGATTGTCTTAATGGGCTCACTTGGGTGGTGGGAACAGAACAACCCCCAAGCTAGTTTGGGTGAACTGCTCGTCAAAGGCACAAATCTGTCTTGGAGGAAGTGCAGCCAGAACGCTCCATGGAATTCCGGATCGTGAGACTTCATCTCGTGTACTGTGGACGTGTAATCAGGAGGGACCAGTCCCTGGAGAAGGCCATCCGACTCGGCACAGCAGATGTTACCTGGAAAAGAGGAGGCCTCTCAAGGAGCTGGACTGACACAGTGGCTTCCACAATGAACTCAAGGATAGCAGTGATTGTGGGAATGAGATGGGACCAGGCGGTGTTTGTTCTTTTGCACGAAGGGTCTCTCTTGGTTTGAGCCAATGCGATGGCCTTGAACCACAATGATTTAGATGAAGGCAGGGATGGGAGGTGCTATAGAAAGTGATGCACATGCAGTGCAGTTGGGTGCATGGAACACAGCGTGGAGATGGGTCAGGAATCCAACGGGCATGGCTGTCTTGCAGGGTCCTGATGGACATCACTCATCCTCTTGACCTGTCTCCTGCTTCTCTAACCCTTCTTCCTTCTTACTGGCTTACTCTGAGCTGGATCTTGCTCCTATTTGAAAAGCACATGGCATGTGATCTCCTACCCCAATCTCTGAATGCACATAGTCATCTTACCCTTTCTTCACCGGACACGCAGTTCCAAATTCACAGGAAATGAATCCAATTTCCCCCATTGCCTTTACTCATTGAGCTACAGGTCATTAGGATGGTGGACTGTCCTGTAGTTAGTTATGGACTCTAGAAACAGGCTACCAAGGCCAGAACGGGATTCCTTGGATCTGGATGTTCTATGGAAGAACTTCAAGACATGTGTGGTCAGTTCCTAATCCTTTGGAATAGTTGTTGTTAGTTGCTGAAGAATTGGCTCCAACGTATGGAGATCCTGTGTATTCCGAGGAGAACTCTGCCCCATAGGGTTTTCAGGTCACCAGACCTCTGGATGCCGGCCAACCTCCAGCCTTTGGGCTAGTCGCCAAATGCTTGGCTGTCTGTGCCACTGTCCTGGAAGAGGATTAGGCCAGAATAGAGACGCTCTTCCTGGACCATGAGTTGTCTTGGCTTCCTACTTCTACAGCGGAAGAAATCCACTTAAAGTGTCATGAACTCCATGTACCTGGCCAAACAGATGAGCAATTTACAATTGCTTGTAATTGAGCCCTTGCTCACTAATTAATTAAAGGAATACGAGCAAGCAGACACCTTCCAAGAGAACCCATTACTGATACTACTGGAATCTGGCCTGTGCAGATAAGCCGGCGTGTGAGCCTAGCCACCCACAGTTCCCTTCAGCATGGACGCCATCTGGGAATTGTCACACCGACTTCAGTCCAGCCGATATACATCAACAAATGAGCACTCTTCCCTGCTGGTCCTCGATGCTTGTCCTCCTTGTAGGCTCTCACTCACCCCCCACCCCCAGAAGTCTGCCTATTCTTGTCCCTGCCCAGGCATCTCTGGTTGCTCAAATTCAGTAGTCAAGTTACATTCACCACTAAGTCCTCCAAGAAATCTCTCTTTCTCTCCTTGGGAAAGGGTATCCTCCTCCATTGATGTCTCCTGGGTTCCACACTTGGCTTGGTGTTGTTCTTATAAGTCATGTCTTCTACAAAGGTTTACAAACAAACCAAACCAAACCAAATGCCATTGAGTTGCCGCCAGCTCTAATCCATGGTGAGCCTTTGTATGTCAGAGTAGAGCCATGGGGCTTTTCTATGGCAATTTCCCGGAAGTAGGTCACTTCTAAGGTCCCTCTGGGTGGACTCAAACCACCAGCCTTTCAGTTCATGGATGGCCATGAAAACCACCTGAAGCCAAGTCAAACCCACTGCCGTTGAATCAATTCTGACTCATAGCAAAACCCTCTTCCGGGCTTCCAAGGCTGTCCGTCTTTGTGGGCAGACAGCCTCATCTTGCAACACCCAGGGACTCCAGAGATGCTTACTCTGGTCGGGAACCTCAGAGATACCCTGTGTCTCCTGTCTCCCAAGATGGGAGATACACTTGGAGTCAAGGCAAGTGTCCAGGAAAAAGATGAGTGAACAGATCACTAGGCCAGAGGGGCTGATGAAAGAGAAGACACACAAGCGAGAAGCCTTGGAAGAACACGGACTCTGGAGTGGCCGAAATCGTCTTTGTCACGTCATGGTCACGGTAACACGGTGAAGGAGACGTGATCAGCGCTGTTGGAGAGAGGATCCCCTGGAAGTGTGATCACCAGATCTCCTAGCTTCTTTCCCATCCAGCAGGCTGTCCGAGGGGAACTGGAGGGTGCGTCCTGTTGGTGTGTGGGTGGTGGTTAGGGCCAGAGTTCAGTGGACTCGGGGAGAGGCGCTGGGCCCCACGACTTTGTCCTCGGGTTGCTTTCAGAAGACCGATGGTCTCTCTCCTGGCTGCCCACATACCTATGTGCCCGGGGAGCATTGGACGCTCTTCCTTTCCGGAAGAGGGGGCAGATGGGCTAAGCTGGAATCCCTGGTGATTCTGAGGGTCGACCAGGCCGAGGGCCAGTGGGATTTGCCGGCAGACCTGGATCAGACACTCTCACCGCCGCTAGTGTGAGTCCCTAACTCCTAGGTTGTGCAGTTGTGAAAAGCAGCTGTGCTACTGGGCTCTCCCAGACTGTCCTCTCAGTGGCCTTGGCTGGAGAAGTGGGAGGAGGATGCAGGCCTGGTAGGGAGGAGCCCAAGGGGAGGGGGAGAAGAGGACAGAGAGTCCACTGCTGTCAAAGTGGACGGAGAAAGTGAGAAAAGGAGGAAAGAGTGTGCATGTGAGAGGAGGGAGAGGGAGGGGAGGGGGAGAGGAGGAGAGAAGAGGGAGGGAGGGGGAGAGGAGAAAGGGGTGTGAGATACGGAGGGAAGAGTGAGGGGCAGAGAGAGGAGGGAGGGGTAGGAAAGAAGAGCGAGGGAGGGAGGAGAGAAGAGAGTATAAATGTGATAGAGAAAGGGAGAAAGAGAGGATTGTTTTGGTGTGGGCGGCTGTAGAGTGGAGAAGAACTTTCTCCAAGGCTCCTGGAGGCCACCAGCCGTGAGAGCAGATCTCTGGGCCCCTTCTGTGGAGCTGCTGGTGGATTTGAACTACCGGACTTTTGACTGGCAGCTGAGGGCTCAACCAGGGCCTCCCCAGGGCTCGCTGGACACCCAAGGGCCCTCAGTAAACCACAGTGGCTTCTGTGTGGTCAGAAGGTCATGGTTCCTCAAGAAATGTAGAAGGGCCCCCCATCACCATCTTGTGGAGAGGGCCAGGAAGCAGTGGGACTTCGTGCCCAGCTGGGAACTGGTCAGGCAGGAAGCAGGGGTGGGCAGCGCTGGAGGGCAGGGTCTGCTTGTCACTTAGGAACTGACACTTGCGTCTATGTCAACATAAATCATTAGGAGCCATGCTTGCACCTGAATCCCAGCCCCCCAGTCTCGTCGCACTCCGAGGCAACACTCAGCCCTGGTCTCCTGTCTCTTCACCAGGGGCCCAGAGCACTGGGGAGCTTTGGGGTGGTGGGGCGTGGGTGATTTGGTGTTTTCCCACGGAGCGGGGAAGCATCTCTAAGTCCTGCACCTTGTTTCTGTGAAGGTCAATCTCCTGGATGAGGACAACTTGAGCATGGACATTGAGTTCAGCATTCGAGAAACTGAGTGCCGGAGAGACTCCGGAGAAGACCCCTCTACCTGTAACTTCCAGAGGAGCCACCATCTGGTGAGTGTGGTGGGAAGGGCGTCATTCCCAAACCAATGTCTTTAGTCGCCTGAGTGAAGCTGAGTCAGGGGTCACATCCACAGCTGGTCACACTGGGCAGCATCCTGGACTGCATCCACATTGGAAGGGTGGTCATGTGACTCAGAGGCTCGACCTTGAGTTCGGGGGTCCTGGGTGGTCTCATCAACTTCCCCATGGCCTCTATTTCCTGCTCTTTGAAATGGAAGGTCATGGTGCTGTTGCAGATTCAAATAAATGACAGCCCCTGTAATGTCTCCATAATTTAGGAGAGTCTTTATTCATTTATAACTGGACTGCTAGACTCTAAAAGAGATTCTTTGATTGCAGTCTCAAGTGGACATTTCAGTCCATCTCTAAAGGCAAAAAACTCACTTATCATTTGTCTAGGACTTAGGAAAGTGTGGACAGAAGTAGAAAGCAAAATTCATGTTGCTGTTCTTTAGAGTTAGTGAGCCTTCCAGGGTACAGCACTGATGAAAGCATCCTGGTTAATAAAATAAGAATCGTAGTATCCTGCTGACAACATCAAAAAGAACAATATTATTCATTACCATATTCTGATCTTGAGAATATAAAAGTGCATCTTAAAATCCATCACTAGTGGGACTCGCCGAGACGGGAACGAGGCAGGTCACCCAGCAGTCAAGATGCGCTACAGTGACGAGTGCCAGTCTCTCAGTGCTTGCAGACAGGGGACCACAGACAGGTCAGCACCGGAGAACAGCCGCGCGCACCTTCCAAACCGACTGGCGGCGAGCCCAAACCACCAGCCATGTCTGCTGTGAGCGGCGCTGCTTTTCGGTTGGCCGTTGCCCGGGGTCTCCCCCATGGGCGTGGGCTCCGTGAGATCAGGAGCATGCGTGTTCATTTTGCGTCCTCAGTGACCAGAGCGTGGATGACACTTGACTCACATCTGTCGGCAGGGGTCACGCCCGGACAGGGCAACGTCATCCATGGTCCAGTGTTCGCCTCCTGTGCAGAGGAGTCTTGGCCTCGGGTTACCTTCTCAGCTGACTTTCTCACAGCGAGGCAGAGTCCCTGGCGGGGCCAGCAGTGAAGCACGTCCCTGCTAACAGAAAGGTTGGGGGTTCCAGGCCACCCAGAGGCAGAAGACTAAAGACCAGGGATCTGCCCGCTCCCACAGCCCTTGCGGCGCGCCAATCCCAGTCTCTCTCCAACACAGTCGGGGCGCCACATGCCCCCGCTGCCTGGTGGGCTGTGGTTTGGCTTCGTGGTGGACAGGGCCTCTGGGACGCAGTGCTTCTGCCGTTGTCATTTGTTTGGCGAAGCCTCACAGAGACCTGGTTTTTGAGAGAAGCCAAACCACGGTGCCACGGGCTCTAGTTGCTGAAGAAACCCAAGGGCAGAGGCAGGAGAACAAGTCTGTCCAGACTTCAACGGTCTCTTCCTCTGTTTTTAAGAACTCGTTTTGTTGACACCGACTTCACCTAATTTCAGAGCATTTTCATCTTGCCCTCCTTGCTGTTAGCTCCCCATTCTCCCCACCCCACACCTCCATCCTCCCTGCCACGGCCCCAGGCAATACTCCACCCAGTTACTGTCTCTAGAGCGATCTCTCTGGAATTCACATACAGAGAATCACACAGAACACAGGCAGGGAGCCAACCAACCAACCCAGAGAAACTCAGCAACCAGGACTAGACGAAAACACAGAAACACCTCAAGGGCAAAGAAAGCAGAACATACTAAAAACGGAAACAACTTTAAAAAGGGTCAAAAGGGAGACCAATTGAGACGGTGTTACATGTTCCCCTAACGCCATCTGCCACCATCGACTGTCCAGCGCCTGCTCGCTGTCTGAGAGCAAGGCTGTCGCCTCCCCGCACTGTACTCAGAGGGGATTCACCGGAGGCGTAATCCATCGGGACTCTGCAAATGGATTTTGGGTTTCCACTCTCCTCTGCTCGATGTGACTCAGAGTGACCCTATAGGACAGACTAGAAATGCTCCCGTGGGTTACCTACTGAGGGAGTAGAAAATCCTGTCTTTCTCCCACTGTGATCCATAGCCTTCCACACACCGGGTTGGCACCACTTATTTTTGTTCAATGGGCAAAGGTCTGAGATAGTCGCTCTTTGCTAAGGAAGGGGTCACCCATTTTTCCTGGAGACCTGCGCTGTATCAGGTTACCCTCACTGCCCTCTGTGGTCCTGGTGACTCCCTCTGGGACTCACCGTACAGGACAGAACAGAAATGTCCCCTAAGGTTTCCAAGATGGTCAATCTGTACAGAGTAGACTGCCTTCCACCTCCCTTCCAAGGAGTGGCTGGTAAGTTCGAACCACCAACCTTTCTGTTAACAGTTGACTGCTTAACCACCGAGTCATTAGTGGTCCTTTCAGAACCAAACCATGCACTGTAGAGCCAGTTCATGGAACTAGTTCACTGGTTTCTACTGAGGTCTCGCGACATTTTCGAGTTGGAGAAACAACCCCCCCACCCCCGCCCGTGCGTGTTTCCTCGGGAAGACCCTGCCCTTTCTTTGCAGAGTAGCTGAAGACGTAGCTCACGGCCTTCTCTTCTCCAGCCCACAGCCCTGTGCAGAAGCTCCGTGCAGGTGTCCGCACAGCAGGTGCAGGACGTCCAGGTTCACTGCCGCTGGGTGTCCAGCTCGGAGTCTGACAGCAGTGAAGAGGTAGAGCCGGTGGCTGGGGAGACTGCCAGTCGGTGTCTCCGAGGGTCTGTGTGGGTGTGTGGAAAGCAGGGAGGTGCGATCGAGTCGGGAGTCCGTGCACTGTGCAAACAGCCAATGCCATTCCTGCTAACCAATCTCATTTTTCTGCATTTTACTGATTTATTTTTTTAAGCTTTAGTTTGTGAGTTGGGTGAGGGTTTACAGAGCAGACCGGCTTTCCCTTCAACAATCCACACCCATTTGTGTTTCTGGTCCTTCTTCCTGCCTGTGTTTTCTGTTTCCTGTTTCCTTCCCTACTTCCTTCCTCGCCCTGCTGAACGCTGCCTTCCTGGTCTCAAAGGGCTCATTCTAATGGGGGGCCCTACCTAGTGTTATTGCTCCCCACAGAAAACAAACAAACCCCCAAGCCCCCAGCAGCATTGAGTCCATCCTGACTCATGGGGATCCTATAGGGCAGGGTAGAACGACCCTTTGGGGGTTCCCAAGACTGCAACTCTTTACAGGAGTAGAAAGCCTCATCTTTCTCTCTGGTGGTTTTGAAGTGGTGACCTCAGGGTTAGCACTCCAGCTCGTAACTACTAAACCACCAGGGCTCCTGTCCCCTGAGTAGACCCGTCTACATGAGTCATGTAGTCTACATGGCCTTAAAGGCAGCGAATGAGCTTGCTTGGCTAAAATTGAGCCAAGGGGGGTGAGTTCCACCCCAGACCTGAAGGGTCACTGAGACAAGACACTCTGCCTTTGAAAAATCAGCCATGGAAAACCCAACAGCACATTTCTACCCTGACATAAGAGGGGGTACCCCCAAACACCCTGGAAACATTTAAACTCATAGTTTTTTAAATTCTGGGGTTTGGGAGGTAACCCCTCAAACATGGGGCATCCATGAGCTGGAATCCACTCTAGGGCAAGAACAGCTCTTTTCAAACATTTTCCTTGTCTACTGATTTTGTGAGAGAGAAGCTGTGTGCTCACCAAGCTGTGGCCCAGCCTAGCTCTGCTCCCTCAACCCCATTCTTAAGTTCGCAAACACTGCTCATTTCCCAAGGCCCTCCTTTCTTACATCCCATCCTCTCGCTGCCCTCTGCCCCCTGAAGGTTTCGGGCAGGATCTCCAAGGAGCAACTAGGGAATCTAGTTTGAGAGCTCTGGGGGAGTGGCTGGTGGGTTTGAACCACCAACCTTGCCGTTGGCAGACCATCATGTGCCTGACAGCACCAAGAAGGCTCCTCATTTGACCTAAGCTCAGTCTATTTGCAGGTCCATATGGTGACACTTTGCACTGGTCAGTGTGAGCTTGTAAGAATTTTTTTTAAATTAATTTTCGAATCCAGACAAGTATTTATTTGGATGTCCAGTCCTGGTCTAGTGGAAAGCTTTTTAGTCAATTTAAATGTCATTGAATTGTCGGTTGCCCTCCGCATACATTTTTTAAAATGTATATGTCTGATACCCTATCACACTATTTAATGTAATGTATTGCCTGGTCTCATTAAAATGCATTTTACAATGTAGTGTCAAAGCTCTCGGGATCAGATTGACATCTCAAACATTGAAAAGACTACTGTTTCTCTTCTTTTTTGTCCCTGGAATACCTTGATGCATCTTGGTGCCTATGTTTATTTAGATGATTTTTGAGGACATGCTGCGATCCTATACGTGGAGAAACAGTTACCTACAAGGTAAGTGGAGATCTGCGTTTTTTTTTTCTTAAAATTTTATTTTACTGGAAACAAGCTCATAGGCTAGTGAGTGCATTGAAATCTGGAAAGGCATCTGTGATAGGTAGGTTTATTGTGCCCACCTGGCAGGTAGGAACATGTGGGGTTAATAAGGTTGAAGTTTGATTGGAGGGCAAAGAAAAAGATGGCTCAGCAAGCCCCACCCCTCTCTCTCTTGCTCTGTGGTGATAGGGCCAGAGTGTGGCTGCTTAATCTAGTTCTCTGCCTCAACTTGTGAGCTACACTACCTGTGGGACAGTCAATCCGTGGAGCGTGTCACTAGAGCTTGAGGTTCCTTCAAGACCTGCTTCGCCATGCTGCGGGTGTGTACATCGCTTGAGCTTGAGGCTGTCAGATCCTGTCGCCTTGCATTGCTTGAGTTGGATATCCCATCCTGGCCGGCTTGGCTAAGCTCCTGAACTGCTGACTGTTGGTGATCCACCCTGATGTTTGCTGCCTATGGGAGGAATGCCTGCATTGCGCTAGGAAAGACTCAGCTGTGTACTTCTTTGATCTTGGACCCAGCAGCCCTCATGAGTTGAAGGACTTCCAGCATATTAACTGCCCCACAGAATTGAGTTGAACTGAGCCCTCTGTACTGCTGTGGACTAATTAGCTGTTGTATTCCTACATGCTGTATCTATCTATCTATAATCATAAGTGTTCTTATGATTTTGTTTTGTTTCTCTAGAGAGCCCTGTGTGACATAGCACCTGTCACCTTTGAAAACACAGCAGTCGAAAACAAGAGAGGCATTGGGCAGTACAATGACTCATCTAGTTCTCCCCTCTTCTTTGAGACAGACACCGCCCCCCCCCCCACCTGGTTGGTTTCCTTAGATGGCCCCAGCATCTAAGGATTATAAGCTAGGCAGGCCAACATTGTCTTTCTCTTTAGGAGGGTTCTGTGACTTGGGTGGGCTTGTCCCATCTGGGGTGCCCTACCTAAGTGAGGGTCTCAGATACTCACTAGTGTGTAGTGGGTGGGTCAGGACTGGACCTCGTTCGACAGGTCTGGGCTGACCTCTGTGACCCTCCAGCCATGTGACTAGAACCGACCATCTCTTTGTGTGTCACGGTTCTAGGAGAGACAGCTCACCTCCTCTGTTTCTTGCGTGGCCTGTGTTTGAGACCAGGTGGGATGGGTTAATGGTCTATCACTCAGGAGTCCCTTTACATTTCATTTCCCTAAGGCCCCCTCTGTGGGTGGTGACCGTGGCAAAGCTCTTTGGTGCTCTCCCTCCATGCCCTTGAAGTAGAAGCCTGTCTGTGGGATCAATAAGATCACAGAACATTCTGGAAGTGGTGGGGAAGAGGGGAGGTCTTATGGACTTACACTGTGTTACAGGTCTCAGCCCTGATGAAGTCAGGAGTGGGCGATTCTATGAAAGGTCATCAGGTATGTAGCTCTATTTCTCCCTGTAGGACCCCCAGTAGACCCTCTTCTGATCACCTAGACTCTGCTAAAACCATTTCATAAGAACCCACCCCCTGAAAGAGAGAGCGATTTAAATGGAAAGGAAGGAATGATACTGCATGAACTGGCATTGCAAATTGTTAAAGGGTTCCTCTTGAGTCATCCTCTCAAACCTCATTGCCATCCAGACAGTCTGCCCACCTTACAAAACAGTGTAGGGCTGGCCCTGTGGGTTTCCCAGGCTGTAAATCTCTAAGACGCCAGTGAGTCCTGGCTGCCCGTGGCCAGAGGGATGTGAACAGTCTTGTTATCAGACAGACAGAGATCATTGTAAAGTCGATTATGGCAAATGTAGTTAGGTTAAAGGGTAATACCTTAGCATTGATCTCTCTTTTGACCCATTTTAAATTTGTTTCAGTTAAAACCAAAACCAAAAAACAGTAAAGGGAAAATACACATGCATTGAGGCTCTAGTGAGTCCCTCTGAGCATCGACCAAGAATGTGACAGCTTTGCCGTGAAGCAAAGGGCCTTGGAATGGATTATGGGCAGAGGCAATCAGGTTAAACACTCACACCTTACTCAGCATTTGAGCTCCCTTTGGACCCACTTAAAATTTGTTCCAGTTTTTAATATTTTCTGCTTTCTTTTCTATTGAGGTTTTCTATGTTTTACTTTGTTATTGTTGTTGGCTTTTGGTTTGTTTGTTTTTGTATGGTTTGCTGTATATAAAATCCAGGATAGGTAAATCTATAGAGACAATACCTGGATTAAATTTTTTTTGGGGGGGTGGTGGCGTGTAGCAGGGAGGTTGGGGGGAAATGAGGAAAACAATGAACACAGTAACAATGAGTACAAGAAAGAAGAAAATGTTCTGAAATTTATTGTGGTGATAATTGTTCAACTCTTCTTGACAGGATTGAACTACATGCTATGGAATTGCACGATATGTCAATTCTATGCCAAGAAAACTGTTAAAACGTGTTTGTGGGTGTAGACAGCCTCATCTTCTCCCGTGGAGTGGCTGCTGGTTTTGAACTGCTGACCTTGTGGTTAGCAACCAGACTCTCAAGCCACCAGGGCTCCTTATTCATCTAAAACTCACCAGGAACTGAAATAGCACATCTGGTCCAAAGGCCAGACTGTTTCCTGCCCCACTTGGCAGCATTTTCCCAACACCCAGTCTCTTGCCACCTGTCCTGAGTTCTCCACCCTCAACTGCACTTCCAGGTAAAAGGACACAACGAACAGTTATTGGTGACCTCTCATGTGCAGATCCAGGTGCCTTGGTGGTGCAGTGGTTAAAGCACTTGGTTTCTAACCTAAAGGTCAGCGGTTCCAAGCCACCAGCCACTCCCAAGGAAAACAATACAGCAGTATGCTTCTGTCCAGCCTTGGGGACCCTCTGGGCACTTGCTCTCTGTCCTACACAGTCCCCAGGAGAGAGTCAGAGTTGACTCCAGGGCAGCGGGTTGGGTTTTTTGGAGATCTGCTTTCATTTCAGCCTCCAGGTAACCTGGTGCATCACCTGCTGTTTGGGGGAAGAAGCAGCAGTAACTCAAGGCCCTGGCTGGCGAAGACAGAATGCTTGTTGTTGCTGTTACTGGGACCCCTGCGGGCACTGTGGGAGAAGCATCGGATTGCTAACGGCAAGAACGGCAGTTCAAATCTACCAACGGCTTTTCAGAGGAAAGGCGAGGCTGTCTGCCCCTAGTAATGATTTACTGTCCCAGAAACCCTACCTAGGGTGCTCTGAGTCAGAATCGACTGGATGGCAGTGTGTTTGGTGTGAGCATCATGGCTGCCGGGTGCCACTGAGTCAGTACAACTTACAGCGACCCCATGTGCAACAGAAGAAAACACTGCCCAGTCCCACGCCATCTCATCTGACGGTGTGACTGGTGCTGAAGGAGCTACTTCCACACCCACCCAGTGACCGCAGGATCCTCAGTATCTCCTGGGCTATTGGATCGAGGGCCTCTTTGTTTTGCCCTGTTGGGTTTTCTCTAAGGCTGTCCGAATGTTCTCAAACCAAGACAGCTGATTTCCCCCGGAATGAGAAATGAGAGAGAGCGACAGACAATGCATAAGTGTGCAAGAAAGCATCTATGACAAAGAAGCACAGTCTGGTACAATCAGATGTTAGGAGCATGCACCCCCACTCTATCTCACTGATCACACAGCCCAGCCCTGGCCCAGGGAGAGCAGATCGCTCAGGTTGGAATACCAAGATGCAGGGATCATTGGAGGCCACTGTGGGAGTTGGTCACTGCTTTGAGAAAACACGGACGGATGCTATACTATACGCAGTGGTTATGCACTTGGATGCTAAGTGAAAGGTCAGCAGCTAGAAATCACCAGCTGCTCCATGGGAGAAAGGCTCTCTACTCCCATAAAGAGTTACAACCTGAAGCCCAGGGGCAGGGCTGCTCTGTCTTAGGGTTGCTGTGAGTTGGAATCAGCGCGATGGTAGTGACTCCTGATGGTTACATGAGCTCGTCAACATGGGTCTTATGTGCCCTAGAAGAGAGTTCCAGAACTGGAATTTGTGAGGGTTGGAAGCCTGGAATCCACACCTTAGAGATTGTTTTAGACAGGATGATTTAACATCACCCGGCCACACACGTAGACTTCCCTGTGTGTGACAAGTTCTGGGGAGACCCCAGGGAGGCCTGTCCGGGGCAGGTGACAGTCCCTGTCCTCAGGGGCTTCCAGACGTGAATGAGAACATTGCACTGGGTAACAGAGTAGAGGGAAATAAGTAGCGGGCTCGGTTGTGTAAGTAGGAGTTTGGTGAGGAAGACAGAGTAACCAGGCTTCTTGCATATTTTCTTGGTGGCCTGGGTTCCAGTTAAGCTGGTCACTGCCACTCTTGTTGAATTATAGTCACGTAGTCTGCGCTCTCTTAGATCATGGTGTGAGTGACGAAGCCTTGTACTCTCTTTTCCCCGTTAGAGCCCAGGAGAAGGCTCTTTCTTCCTGGAAACAGAAGGCACCCAGCCCACTGGCACAGAACAAGGACGTCTACTGGCTTTGAGGTAAAGAACACCGCTGACAACATGCATATGTAGAGTAGAAAGTGCTTGGAACAAATGCCTTAAGGTGGCAGCTCCTGCCCTCCCAGCTGCCTAGTAGGTGTGACTTGTCCAGCCCCTTCCCTGCTTGTTCATCGTCTCCTGCCTTCTCCAAGCTGTTCCTCCCCCATCTCGTGCACCTCATCTGCTTTCCCCTTGAAGTTTGCATTGTTCTCCACTGCTGGGGTCAAATCTCCCCATTCGCCCAGCAAACAAATGGACAGCCAGCCCCTGCCTTTGCCCACCCCGACCTCAGTCGCTCCCACCAGCACCTGCCTTCTCTCCATTCTTTCTGTCTTGGGACAAGAGACCACCTCCATCGCCTCATCTTCCTGGCGCTTTCCCTGCTTCGTGCAAATGGGACTGGAATCCTTCAAGCCTTTCAAAGCCAATCTGGCTTCTTTTCCCTAGTCGGGAAGTGCCATCAACCATTCCTGTTGTCTCTTCGATTCTGTCCTGAGTCTAGAGATCACCTGCCATCTTTTCCACTTGTCTGATTTAAACGCTCACAGAAGGGTCATGATGGGCAGAGACACGCATCTACCATGCTCTATAGGAAGAAAGATGGGGGCGTTCTACTCCCGTCAACAGCTATAGTCTCAGAAACTCACGGGGACCGTTCTACCCTGTCCTGTAGGGTCACAGTGAGTCGGCATTGACTGGATGGCAGTGAGAGAGACCATGCTCTGTCCTGAGATTCCAGTCCTGATGCCAACAGTCTGGTGAATGCAGTTACCATGGTGTCTCCTCATCTCCTGAAACTCAACTTGCCTCCTGCCAAGCTCCCAACTCCTTCAAACGCATTACCATTCACCTAATTTGCTCTAGCGAGAAGCCTTGGGGGGCATCATTGACTTTGTCTTTTGTCTTCTCCCAACATCCCCAGGGGTTCAGTCTCATTGCTTTGCCCACACATCCTCGCTGCAATTGACCCCTCAGTTCATCACTCTCCCCGCTGCCTGGGCTCTGATCTCCTGGGGTCTGCCCAGCACTCTGCCCTCCAGCTTATCTTTAAATGCAGGGAAGGCTCTGTCCCTTTCCTACCTAAAGCCCTTTGAAGTTTGCTGTCCTTAGGGACTGAAACAGAGCCGTGTACAAACCAGATGCTGAACAACCTGATTGCACCCCAGTGCTTTGAAGAGTCGAACCTTGGCCCTGGTTGACCAAACCCACACAGTCCTCCAGTCTCATGTTGATAATAAGTCCCCGGGGTCTGGGGCCAATGGAACTCTGTTTCTGGAGGTGCTCAGGTGCTAGAGAGCCATCCTGAAGGACATACTTACGAGGTATCAGTGATATATTGGAGACAGTTGCAGTGGGCGTCTGTTCAGGAGACTTATTTACATACGTGCACTTAAGTTAATGAAGCTTGGACTTCACAGGCTTTACAGCTCACCTAACAGTGTGTGGCCTTGCAGATAAAGTCCAAATTCTTTAGTGTGGCCCACAAAGCTCTTCATAATTGTGCCTCTCTGGCCACCTCTCTAATCCCATGTCTCCCAAGTCCTCCTGCCCTAAGCTCCCACAATGCTGAGCAGATTGCAATTCCTCCTGCTGTAGCCTCTACCTGGAACATCTACCTGGTGAATTCCTCCTCGCCACTGAGGTCCTGGAGCCCTAGGGCACAGTGGTTACGCATTGGACTTCTATCCACAAGGTCAGCAGTTTGAAACCACCAGCTGCTCCAAAGGAGAAAGACAGGGCTTTCTAATCCTGTCAACAGTGACAGTCTTGGAAACTCACAGGGGCAGTTCTACCCTGTCCTAAAGGGTCGCTATGAGTTGGCATCAACTCGATGGCAGCGAGTTCTGAGTTGAGAGTGGGGTCTCAGCTCAGTTGTCCCTCTCCGTGGGACATTGATTCTGACGCCCCCCACACCTGCCCTTCAAGTTCAAGTTGGCCTCCCTCTGGAGGCCACCATAACGATTTCAGTACCAGGCAGTGCTGTTGCTCTCTGGTCTCTCGGGGGAGAGACACTGACACAGAGGAGGTGCTTGGCTTTGGAACAGGTGAAGGAATCCTCCAGGTGAGGTGAAGAACAGCCAGATTGATTTTTTTTAAGACTGGAATTTGGACTACATGAACTGACATTTTGCTAAAGCAGAAGGAACATTCACCTGTAAGACTCTGTCGTGGACAATGCCAAAGATGTTTCCTTTTTGATCTCTACTCAGTGCCCTTGAGTAGATTGTGACTCATAGTGACCTGATAGTGCAGCTGTATAAGATGCAGAAGAACTATTCCTGTGGGTTTTTGAGACTGTTACTCTTTATGGGAGTAGAAATCCTTCTCTTTCTCCCATGGAGTGGTCGGCACTTTAGAACTGCTGACCTTGCGGGCAGCAGCCCAAAGTGTTACTACTCTGCTATGGTGCATCTTAAAAATAAAAGCCAGCTTCATCGTCTTGGTAATCGGCACGTGGATGGATATGTATTTTTCCCCATTTCGGTCCTTTATATTTCAAATGAGCTTGATCTAATGCATACCCTGTATTGGGACTGCTTCAATGTAGCAAAGAAAGTCTGTGTCCAAATGAGATTACAGACACAGAGATGGGGCTAGGGTTAGAGCACGTTTGGGAGGGAGAGGCCGACGCAACGCAAAATGTGCCCTTCTTTGGGGTGCTCTACCTGTTTCTGAGCACTGGTCACACTGCTTTATAATCACTTCTATCTTCTCAACCAGTTCATGTTTCACATTTCTTTTTAAGGTCAGAGGTTGGGTAGCTCTGTTGGTCCCCGTCAGCCCTGATACAGGCTCCACGCGTACACGTTTGTTGAGTGAATTGATGAGTCCTCCCACGTCCAGTCTCGAACTCTCAGCTGACCACAGCTACGACCAAACTTCCTCCTCGGCTGGCTGGGTGGATGCCTTCTTCCTATCCGCACACCTCAGCATGCCTTACACCCGCTGGAGTGGCAACACCTGCCTGCAGGACTTCTCAGGCCCTTCTCTCGTCTCCCCTTTTGTGAGACTTGAGCTTCCTTTTGGGGGTCGTGTCTCTGGTCTCTAAGACATGCTTCCCTCCTCTTCCTCCTGGAGGGTCTCCCGTCCGTTTTCCTTTGATCAAGGAGTGTCACTGCTCGAGCCCTGATCTCATCTCGGTCACCTTCCCCGCGGGCAGGATGGATCCTGCATCCTGCGCCTCTAACCCAAGAACCCGGAACTGTGCCGCGAGGGTCTAATCTTCCCCATCCTTCCCCCCCCCCCCCTATTTTAAACAGGACATGCACCAGAAGGAATAGAACTTCGAAGGAAGAAAATTAATGTACGAAGTGTGTCATTTCCCTTCGGATCAGTTCCAATCTGTAATAAATGCCTTACACCTTCCTCTTTTTGTCTTTCTTTCCATTGTGTGATTTTACAATAGGCCTGAAGAACCAAGAGCCAGGTCCATATGGGGAGCAGTAACACTGGGGAGGTGTGCACACCTGCAATCATTTGAGGTCAAAAGGTCAAGGACAAAGTTCAAAAGGCCAAGGACAAAGTTCAAAAGGGGTAGGAAATCAGGAGGAAGGGAACAGAGAGTAAGCGCAGGGAGGAAGTGGGCTGAGGGATGTGACAGGGTGGGGATTGCAACCGGTGAGATGAAACAAAACAGGCACAAGATGTTCAGTGGAAAACTGACCTGCTCTGTAAACCTCTGCCTACTGCACAGTCTACAGCGGGGGAAAAAAGAGATCTTAAAATAATTCAAACTATTAAATGCTTAGAGGAACGGATGGCATGAGACACTTGGTGTTAGTAGGCATGTAGAGGAGTCCCCTTTGGGGATGAAATGGTCCAAAGGGTTAGCACACTCAGCTACTAACCAAAGGGTCAGGGGGTCTAGTGCACCCAGAGACTCTTTGGTCAAGAAGGTCAGGCAGTCTCCTGCTGAAGCGCCCGTTCTTGGAAACCTTACTCTAAGCTAGCAGAGAGAGTGGCATGACTTGCAGTTGACTCAATGGCTCCGAGGTAAGGGTTTCTGGACTTGAGGGCATGATGTCGCTGGGCTTGGAAGCATTTTATCCGGCATGTGGGTTACACCGGGGTCTGTAAAGACTGCCTATTCCACTTTTCAAATGTCCTCTGTGCCTAAGGGGAACGAAGCATCCCATTCAACCACTCTCCCCAGCCTACTCGTGTACCTGCCTCCCCTCCTTCAGATTTTCCCAGTCAGAGGACCAACAGCAACGTGAGCGGCGGCGCTCTGTCCAAGCGGGTATGGCCAGAAGAGGAGTGGAAACAAGGGTCACGTTCTCAAGCTCCAAGGCCCTTGTTTAGAGACACACCCAGGGGTAGGGGTAGGGTTAAAAAAAGAAGAAGAAATAAACCCAGTTGGCGTGTGTGTGTGTGTGTGTGTGTGTGTGTGTGTGTGTGTGATCAGTTAGCTATATGCTGACCTAGTAGTGACTTCTGCTGAGACACAATTTAAAGGATTCAAAAGGACCCACATCTGAGCCCATTCCCTCTCCAGTCAGGTCACGATCCACACAATTCCCATGAGCAGCCCTGAGAAGTGCTTGCTGGGGGGACAGGAAGCACGAAGTTGTTTATTACTGGTCATTTGCGATTTGATTGAGATGTGGTGATTGAGTCCTGCTCCAGTGGCAAGTGGGTGGACTTAGGACCGTTTTTAAATGTTGGATCAGACTAGGCCCCCCAACCCTGACCTTCTCCTGTGCTTCATTCTCCATCCTTGTTTCAGAACGGTCCTGGACATGCCCGGAGGCTTGTTTAATGTCAGCTCTACGAATCCATTCTGAATCACATTTCTCCTAAAAACCAGACTGGCCTGCCATCCATCCTGGCTCATAGCAACCCTGTCGGTCAGAGTAGAACTGTCCTATGGGACTTCCAAGGCCACCATCTTTCTGGGACAGCGTGGTGGTGACATAATCTCATGTCAACTTGAAGATACATCAAAGCACAGGGGTGGTCAATCACGTGACAGCCTGATGGTGACTCCTTGTGGGCGTGGCCCTCTCATAAGGAGGACCCTGGGACCCTCCCCCGGTCTCTGCCTTCACCTTCCTGCTGGCGGATCCGGTTACTGCCAAAGCCCCACCATTGGATCCACATGACTTTATACCTACCGGCCTGTGACCTTCCTGCTTGCTGCATCATCGCATGTGGCTGCATGAGTCTGAAGAGGAATTTATGGACTAGTGTTGGACTGATGGAATTGATCTGGACTGGGCTGGGATGTTCTCTTGATGTATAATAATTTTTTATATATATAAAGCTCTAGATTTGCTTCTCTACTCAACCCGCCAAAGCCTAACACGCCATTAACAGGTAGCATGACCTAACACAACATTCACAGACAGCACGACACGCGACACGCCTTCCTACAGAACAGGGGGTGGGCTCGGACTACAAAGGTTCCTGTTAGCAGTCGTGTGTTTAGCCGCTTTTCTGCCAGACCTCCACGGAACCAAATGAATCGTGTTCAATGTGTAGATCAATTCGGGAACACGGCCACCTCTTTCCACCCCGAAGCCCCTGCCATGACATGTTGGTTTCGTCCAGGACTGTATTCCCAGGCAGGTGTGATTTCTTTAATGATCGGAAGAGGATATTTATGGCACATGAGGTCACGTGCAAATGTCTAATTTGTTCATCTCAGAATTTACCAGCCTTTCTCAAACTTTTTTTTCCTTTTTTTGCCAAGAGGTTTCTTATACTTTCCTTTGTGGAGAGAGAAGGGTAGCTAACCGCACTGGGCTTGCGCCAGACAATCTTTGCTTACCGTTAACGACTGAAACGTCTGCTGGATAGTGGGGGCCTGTCTAGGGCTTGCTCCTATCTGGGCCTCATGAAAGCCACGAGCTAAGGCATGGTTAAGAGGCCCTGTGTCTTCCACCTGCCGTGGACTGTCTGGAGAACAACCTCGCAGCCTTAGAAGAGACACAGCCAGAATGCTCCTTGGAAGTGACGAGGGCGGGACTTCCTCTTGCTTATTCTGGGCGAGTCGTCAGGAGAGACCCAGCCCTGGAGACGGGCATCCTGCTTGGAAATGTGCACGGAAGGAACACCATCCTTTCTCCTTCGGAAACAGTCAGTCTCAGGAACCCAGAGGAGCACCTCTGCTCGGTCCTGTAGGGTCGCTGGGAGTCAGAATCGGCTCAAAGGCAATGAGTTGGGTTGGTTGATTGGTTGGTTGGTGAGTTAGTTAATTGTGCCAGCCTGGCCGATAATCACATGTGGGGCTAATTGAAAGGCGGAGGGATAAATGGGTGGTGAGCCTC